CTACATGGCAGAATTCTCAGGTTAAGGCAGAAAATACATGTATATATATATGTGGATATATACATCTACATGTATGTATGTATTTTTATATATATCTCAACATGTATTTTGATACATATATCAACATACACACACACACACACACACACACACACACACACACATATCAACATGTATTTTCTGCCTTAACCTGAGAATAATGTATCAGAGGAGAAAGTCAAGCTGGCTGCAGAAATTTGCATAAGTAACAAGGAGCTGAATGTTAATCACCAAGACAATAGTGAAAATGTCTCCAGGGAATGTCAGAGACCTTTGCAGCAGCTTCTCCCACTACAGGCCTGAGGTTTAGGAGGAAAAAATGGTTTCATGGGCCAGGCCCATATATATATGCTATGTAACTATATATATATAATAGCATATATATTTATATATCTAGTTGACACTTGAACAATGCAGGAGTTAGTGGCACTGATGCCCACACAGTCAAAAATCCATATATAACTTTTGACTTCCCATGTATCTGTAAATAACTTTACTAAGTTATCCTTGTGTAACATTACTAATAGTCTACTCATTACTGGAAGTCTTACCAATAACATGAGCAGCAGATTAACATATATTTTGTATGTTATATATACTATATTCAATAAAGTATATTATATATACAATAAAGTAAGCTAGAGAAGAAAAAATGTTAAGAAAATTGTAAGGAAGAGAAAACATATTTACTTTCCATTAACTAGAAGTGGATCATCATAAAAGTCTTCATCTTTATCCTCTTCACATTGAGTAGGGTGAGGAGGAGGAGGAAAAGGAGGGGTTAGTCTTGCTCTCTCAGATCTGCATATAAATGGACCCTCGCAGCCCAAATCTATGTTATTCAAAGGTCAACTGTATCTATCTGTAACTATCTAATCTGTCATTGCTCTATTAGTCTATCTACAGACAGACAGACAGACACACACACACACACACACACACAAATGCACACCTGTTTGTACCTCAGGTGCAGGAGGTGACATTCAATCCCTGCTCCTCTCTACTGTTATTTCTCTGGCTTTGGTTTCAGAGAAAATGACAACGTTTCTCAAACTTATGAATTTATTTTTACCTTGGGGAAATTTTTCTTAGATTTTTCATCTGTTAAAATGGGATAATACCTATATTGTAGATGTAATTTAAAGATTTAATGATGTAATAAAAGTGCCTGATGGACAGTAGTCCTATCACTAGTACTCTACTACATTCTTTCTGAGAAGACAGTAATGTAGTAGATAAATCCCTATATCCTTATTTGCACTACACTCAGCACTCAAAACATTCAGTCTTTTCATTTTAGCACACAATCTTTATCTAAGTTTAGAAAGTTTAGTTATTATTTCCATGATCATATTTTTTTTTTTTTTTGAGACAGAGTCTCGCTGTGTCACCCAGGCTGGAGTGCAGTGGCTCCACCATAGCTCACTGCAGCCTCGACATCCTGTGCTCAAGCAGTCCTCCTGCCTCAGTTTCTTGAATTGCTGGGACTACAGGTACACACCACTAGGCCTGACTCAATCACTTATTTAATTGTATTTCCTTTACTTGTCAGCCATCCTAAAAGTTTCCATCTTAGGTGTGCTGGGTGAATTTTGTGTAGAAAGGTGGATGCCTACTTGTTTCACAGTAAAATGCTGACATAAAAAGCAGCCATTTATCTTTTTCTTCCATCAAATTTCATGTATCAGCTGTACAAATTTAAATATCAGACAGAAAAATGTACATTGGTGTGGCTCACATTTATAACTTTTACCTTTACATTGCTCTTACTCAGCTCAATTTTAAAAATATAGTATTTCTCTTTACTGGAGTAAATTGAAGATACAGAAACAATAGAATGAAGAAAGAATTGTACACATTGAAGACAGTCAATGTAAATAGTTTTTACCCCCCTTTTCTGGTCTTTTCTCAATGTACAACTTTAAAAAATACTGGCAGACTTCCATTATATATAGCATTTTACATCTTGCTTTTTATGTAATATTATATTGCAAACATTTTTTTTCAGGTTACATTCTGCCTGGACATTTTTATGGCTGCAGGGTATATTACCACATGGATTTATTTAACAATTTCTCTATTTTCTGACACAATTTCATTTATAGTGAATACTGTGATGAACATCTTTTTGAATAAAACTTATCTTATTTTTCAAGGTTATGTCGTTAGGATAGATTTCCCAAAGAACATTACTGCGTTAAAGCATCTCAGAAATTTTAAGTCTCTTGACTCTTTTTGACAAATTGCTTTCAAAGGAGTCATACTAATTTTTACTTCTGCTAGGGATTTACCACAATGCCTGTACTTTGTTAAATATAGATTATTGTCATTAGTGATGATGGGCATTTTTATCTGTGTTTGTTTTCTCATTCTAATGCCTCCATCATGAAGAATGCTATCTCCTTCATGTCCTTTGGTAGACCACTCATTCTTATAGGCATGATCTCCTGGCAAAAGTGTGGTGGAAGAAAACACTGAAACATTTCTACAAACTTGTATCATTTCTAATGTCTCCACTTCCCTGGCCACCCTCCCTTAATAAAAATTGGGCAGAAAAAAGCTAACATCTTCTTTTTTCAAATTTTATTTTTATTGCAAAATAAGTTGCTTTTGTTGTACAAGCTAAACATTGCAAATAAAGCTAAAGCGTCCTGTGACCAAGACCACAATGTTGCACAAACTCATAGGCTATTTGTGACCAGCCTGGGCAACTTGGCAAAAACTACATCTCTACAAAATATACAAAAATTAGCCAGGCATTGTGGCATACATCTATAGTCCCAGCTACTTAGGAGGCTGAGGTAGGAGGATCACCCGAACCTGAGAGGTCAAGGCTACAGTGAGCCCTGATCCTGTACTCCTGCCCAGGTGACAAAGTGAAACCATGTACCCCTCCCCCCAAACTCTGCAGACCATCTTAAACAGCTGTGCAGTGTTGATCTAGAGACCCTGTGCTGGACTATCTGCCTGTCATTCCCAATCCTTTTCCTTTCATGGGAGGGAAACATTCCTATCAGTTTTATGTAAATCCCCCCAGATATTTTCCTTTTTTAAAAATTTTAAAGTATTTAGTTTTCTTACTCTTACCATAGTAGAATGACAGACCTGACTTATCCCTGCCCCCTCCTTAGCTTGTTTCCTCATAGAATGCTGATGCCTTTTCCCCGCATTAAATTCCAGTTAGTCCTATTGTATAGTCCTCTTTCTGTAGTCCAGGCCAGTTGTTTTCTGCATTTACATGTTGTGAATACGGTTTTGCATCTCTCTAGCAGTCTGATCCCAGAGCCCCTTTCAGGTGTCTTTATTTTTAGAGGTTCAGGATGTTTTGCTGTTTTAAGAAATGCTGGGGAGAAAAATGTTAGAAAAACATTATATTAGGATGCCAAAATATTTTTCTCTCCCTAAAGCTAAAACACATACAGTTTCACCCTAAGGAACCAATTCTTTAGAAAACAGAGCTAAAAGGGAAATGAAATGAAAGCCAGCCTACATTAAATTTCATTTAGTCCTATTGTTTAATTTATGTTCTGGGCTGTTCGATTCCTTTTAGGCCCTAGGCATGCAACATACCGTTTCAGTGTGTTTGGTCATTCCTTTATATTTTATCCTATCTTTGGGCCTTATGGATATTTCTGTTCTGGAGGCTTCTGAAATCAGTCAGCTCTCTTTTTGGGATTGTTGATAGGTGGAGTGGGATACTTTTTAGTGGGCATGTTGGTTTATATTTTTTCCCCATTGAACCGATTAGCTTTCTCTTTCCTGAGTTTAATAATGTGATATATTGCTTCTGCTGACCAATTTTTAAAGTTTTGGCTTTTTATTTGTGCTCAGATTATTTTGCCATATTTTCTGAGTAATTTTGTTTATTTTAGTTCAGACATGGAGAGATTTCCTAGGAAAGCGTGATGAAAGCACACTCTAACCCACTTGTGGACCTTTGCAGATTAGGGGTGCTTCCATATTGTGAGCCATGTGGCTAAGCAGGATATGATTGCCTCGTTTCTGACCCAGCGGTCAAAAATGCTGTGCTTTGCTGGAGGGAAGTGTTCACAGCTACTGCCTATGTTGTAATTTTTTTTTGAAGATTAACGGAAGACCTGAATTTTTAGAGTTTTCCATATGGTTGCTTTCCCAGTAGCACTAACTGACTTAAAAAAAAAAAAAAAAAAAAAAAAAAAAAAACACCTCTTCACTTTAAGGAAAAGAAAAGTCCTGAGTCACTTAGTATTCCTTACACTCAGGAAGGCTGACTATAAAGGCTTACGCTTCCTGCTGTGATTGTATCCTCCACGAAAGAAATGAAGCAGCAACATGAACTTAGTTCCCTTTATCTGCACGGTGATTCTAAGTCTCAATTTCTGCCGTCTTTCCTCTCTGGCTATTTAATACACTTATCATTTCTCTGCCTGGCATTCCCCTATAGGAGAGATTGAATTTAACAAATGTACACTAAGAATGATAGCTGACACTAATTCAATGAGCAGAAGGTTAAATCCAATCATAATTCCTGAGGTAATGGAGACTGGTAGGGTATGCAGATCTCTGAAGAGTCAAAGAGATTAAATGAGACTACACAGCTCCTTTGACTCTGTAGCCACTAGGAAAGTATAATAGCATTTTAAGGTAGGGTGATACTGGATCCTAAAGCTTTATTTTTTAAAAATTAACAAAGCATCACAGTCAAGCTGATGCAATAATTTTGCAATCCCTTGAGCTGTTAAACTCAAGTGAAGAAAGATGTTAGCTAAGTGCAATCTGGAATGAATACATTAATTTTTACATTTCCTTTTACCCATTGTGCATGAAGTCTTGAGCTGTTTTAACTCAGATAAACTTTAGTCCATGATAAAATCTGGGAAGAGTATCTGCAAAGATTTGAACAATATAAATAAATTATATTAGGGATACAGGAGTGGAAAAGGGAGGGAAAAAAAAGATTTGCAAATACTTTAAAAAAACGATTTGATTTAATGTCTGTAGATGGAAGCTGTGGATCAGTACTTCCCATGAGACTCCATGGTGAATTGTCACTGATGGCAACTAACAGAAAACTAACGAAAAACTTGCAGCTGGGGCCCTTCCTGGATCCGCCTCTAATAGCCCTTCTCAGTAGGATGGCAAGATCAGAGTTAAGGCTGATAAGATAATGGAGTCTGTGCATGCCCGACCTGATTGCTCCCCTGATCTGATCACTAGTATCGGGGTGACAGCTGCTTTTCCAACCCTCTGGACAGCAAGTGGCAGGGCAGCATGTCAACTGCATGTGCATATTTAGCAGTCATATATTGACAATTAAAAAGGAAGTATTTCATATTTGTATTACCCTTATTAAAGAGTATGTGAAATATTTAGTCAAAGAGTTGGAGGGTTTAAAGATACCATTGTGAATTTTTGCATGACTGAGCAGGGTTCTTTTAAAATATATACTTGATCAGTGAATTATGATAATTCTTGCATTGGTATGGCTGTGAAGATATTGAACATTACATATTCGATTCACATATATAACTCAGAGGAAGACCGTCAAGTTTTAGGATTGCAATAGTAGTACATGACACTGAAATTGGGATGGGTTTGTTAAAATTCAAAATGGAGGTAATGAAACTGAAACAAAACAGGAAAGAGAACATTTTGTTTTCAGGGATTAAAGCTTTCTAAATTAGTGGGTTAGAATAAAGTACTATGTCACTAAAGATGGTAAAATGTGTAAACACATTATTTTATATAGAAAGGAAACTATATATATATATATACACACACACACACACACATTTGTGTATACACACACAACACATACACACATATATATTTGCCAGTATATATCCACTTAAAATTTGCATAGTCTTATATCTCACACTTCCACATCAAGAAATAGGTATTCTTCATCTGCCCTTTTCACTTAAATAATGTACCTTCTTTGTTGTTTGGTTTTGGAATTGCAGGGCACTTCCTTTTGTTTTGTGTAAAAGTTGTGTGTTTGAAAAATACAAAAGAATACATGTAACTGATATGTAAGCAATGATGCATAATAATTACCGAACACTAGTGAATTGACCATGCAATTAGGGTCTGGAACATTATAATTCATATAATTTCTATCTCATCCTATTTTCTACTTCCTATATATTCAGTAAACTTAATTTTATCATTTCCTTTTCCAAAATGGTTTAATCATATAAGTATATATTCTTTTCATAATCTCATTTTTCAAAGTTAAGGTATAATTTGTATACAGTAAGTTTCACTCATTGCGATTTACAATTCTTTGGCTTTTGACAAACACGTACACCATCATAATCAAGATATAGAGCAGTTCTATTTCCTTTCAAAATCATCCCATGCCACTTTGTAATCAATCCCTTCCCTTTTCCTTCGCCCTTGGCAACCTCTAATCTGTTTTCTGTCCCAAGAGTTTAGCCGTTTCTGGAGTGTCATCTAAATGGAATTATATGTTGTATAGCCATTTGAGCCTTCTTTCCTTCTGCATAATGCATATGAGATTCATCCATGTTTTTGTACATATCAACAGTTCATTTCTTTTTATGACTTAGTAGTATTCTATTATAAGACTGTATTACAGCTTGTTTATTGTTTGACTAGCTGAAGAGCATTTTGAGTTGTTTCCAGTTTTCGGCAATTACAAATGTATTGGCTATCAATATTTGTATACACATTTTTGTATAAATATAAATTTTCATTTCATCATGGTATCTACTTAGAAGTGAAATTTCTGGGTCATATGATGAATGTATGTTAAATTTCATAAATAACTTTTTAAGATGTAGCACACATTTCCAAAGGGGCTGTATCATTTTGTATTCTCAGAAGTTATTTGTCAAAGTTTCAGTTGCTGTGGACCTTATTAGCATTTAATGCTGTTGTTGCCTATTTTTTCGAATTTAACCATTTTTTAATTAATGGTATCTCACTGAGTTATAATTTAAACTTTCTGAATGACTATTTTTAGCAACTTTATGTACTTATTTGTGATCTATGTGTCTTGTGTAGTGAAGTGTTAACATTTTTTTTGCCAATTTTAAAACATACATTGTCTATTTTCTTACTGAGTTTTAAGAATTTTTATTCACAGGTACAATTTTTTTAAAATTAGATGTGTGATTGCAAATGTTTTCTTCCAGTTTGTGCCTTGACTTTTCATTCCTCTAACAGAAAAAAGCATTACGTATCATGCATTATACTTTTGGTATCTAACAGTGTTTCACCTAACCCAAAGTCACAGAGGTGGGTGGATTGCCTGAACTCAGAAGTTTGAGACAACCCTGGGCAACATGGTGAAACCCCCCATCTCTACTAAAATACAAAAAATTAGCCAAGCCTAGTGGCTTGTGCCTGCAATCCAAGCTACCTGAGAGCCTGAAACAGAATTGCTTGAGCCCAGTAGGTGGAGATTGCAGTGAGCCAAGATCACACCACTGCACTCCAGCTTCAACAACACAGTGAGACTCCCTCTCAAAAACAAAAAAAAAAACGAAAAACAAACAAACAAAACCCAACGTTTACTGATATTTTGCTGAGGATTTTTGTCCCTGTATTCATGAGGGGCATTGCTGTGTAATTTTTTCTTTCTACCCTCCCCCACCCCAGCTGTGTTGTCTTTTTCCGGTTTTGGTATTAGAGCATTTTTGGCATTACCAAATGAGTTGGGAACTGGTCCCTCTTCTTTTCTATTCTGGAAAATATTATGTCAAATTTGTATTACTTCTTTTTGAACTGTTGGGAAGAATTTGCCAATGTAGCCCTCTGGCTTGAAGTGTTTTGTTTTTTTTTTTTTTTTTTTAGACGGAGTTTCACTCATGTTACCCAGGCTGGAGTGCAATGGCGCAATCTCGGCTCACCGCAACCTCCGCCTGCTGGGTTCAGGCAATTCTCCTGCCTCAGCCTCCTAAGTAGCTGGGATTACAGGCACACACCACCATGCCCAGCTAATTTTTTGTATTTTTAGTAGAGACGGGGTTTCACCATGTTGACCAGGATGGTCTCGATCTCTTGACCTCGTGATCCACCCGCCTAGGCCTCCAAAGTGCTGGAATTACAGGCTTGAGCCACCGCGCCCGGCCTTGAAGTGTTTTTGATTGGAAACTTTAATCTAGAAATACACTCTAATTGATAGATATAGAATTATTTGGATTATCTGTTACATGATTGAGATTTCACAGTTTGAGTCTTGAAACATTTGCCCAATTTACCTAAGTTGTTCAATTTCTGGGCATAGAGTTATTTGTAATATTATTATTATCCTTTAAATGTCTGTCATATTTTTAGTGATGTCTTCCTGTAAAAATTCTTAATATTTGTACTTCATATCGTCTCTTTTACTTTGTTGGTCAATTTGGCTGGATGATTACAATTTTTTTTATCAAAAATAGCTGTGGTTTTATTACTTTTCTCTATTTTTTTTGTTCTCAGTTTAGTTAATTTCTATATTTATTATTTTATTCATTTGGTTTGGGTATAATATGATTTTATTTTTCCAGTTTCCTAGGTGGATTCTTAGAAAATTTCTTTTCAAGTATTGCTCTAGCTACATCTCATATTTTGACAGGTTGTGTTTTCATTTTCATTAAATTAAAATATTTTCTAATTTCCTCTGTGATTTTTACATTCATCTTTGGGTTATTTAGAAGTGTCCTGTTTGCTAACCAATCATTTTGGGATTTTCCAAGTATATATCTCTTACTAGCTTCTAGTTTGATTCCATTATGGTTACAGAACATTGGTATGTTTCAATTGGTACACATTTTTAAATGTTTTGTTTTATGATCCATAATGTGATCTATCTTAATGTATGTTCCACATGCATTTGAAAAGAATGTATAGTCACTGTTTTACAAATGTCAATTAGGTTAAGTGGATTGATTGTATTGTTCAAATCTTTTATTTTCTTACTGAATTTATGTCCACTTGTTTTATTGATTAGTGAGAGAAGGATATTTAAGTCTCCAACAATAATTGGGTTTGTCTGTTTCTCCTCTCAATTTCGTTAGTTTTTTTTCCTTCATATATTTTGATGTACTATTAGATGAATGCATATGTAGAATTATTGTCATTCTATGAAGCTGCTTCTCTTTATACTCATAATCTTAATTTTCCTGAAATCTACTTTGTCTACTCTTTAGATAGCCCCTACAGCCTTTTTTGTTAGTGTTTGCATGATCTGTATACTCTCATCCTTTTATTTTTAATTTGTCTACATATTTATGTCTAATGTAAGTTTCTTGAAGACGTAATGCAGTTAGATGTTGCTTTGGTAATTAATGTAACAATCTAGTCTTAAATCAGTGTGTATTTTGGCATTCTATGTAAGTACTGACATTTTTGGATTAATCTACCATCTTGCCAGTTATTTTTTGTATGCTCCCATTTGTTTTCTGATTCTTTCCTTGTTTTCTTTTGTATTGAGTATTTATTTTATGATGATTCCATTTTATCTACACCACTCACTTATTATTTTTACTTAGTATATATATTTTTATAGTTGTCCTCAGTTTTTTTTTTTTTTTTTTTTTTTGAGATGGAGTCTTTGCTCTGTCTCCCAGGCTGGAGTGCAGTGGTGCCACCTTGGCTCACTACAACCTCCACCTCCCAGCTTCAAGGAATTGTCCTGCCTTGGCCTCCTGAATAGCTAGGATTACAGGTGTGTGCCTCCACAATTGGCTAATTTTTGTATTTTCACTAGAGATGGGGTTTCACCATGTTGGTTAGGCTGGTCTGGAAGTCCTGACCTTGTGATCTGCCTGCCTCTGCCTCCCAAAGTGCTGGGATTACAGGTGTGGGCCATCACACCCAGCCAGGTTCATATTTTTAATTAATCATATATTTTATGTTCACATAACATTATAGTGCTTCATAGAGCCTTATAACATCATACTCTCAATTCCTTTCTCCCTTGTTTTGGGGTGTTTTTATAATTTTAACTTCACATGTGGTATAAATATGCAATAAATTGTTACTATTTTTATTTTTTTGCTTTGATGATCCACTATCTTTTAGAGCAAAATTATATATTTGTTTGTCAACATTATTTCCAGGACTATTCATGTCTTTGCATAGATCTAAATTTGTGTCTGAAGTCATATTCCTTCTAACTGGTGATTTTTTTTTTTAGCATATCTTGTAATGCAAGTGTGCTGGTAAGCCCCTCCCATTCCCAGCCCCACGCTAGCATCCCAGGTGCCCTGACCCTGGGCCCGAGGTGGCCTGGGGTGCAAAGTTCCCCACCCTGGGGTGTAGTCCTCACCCATCCCACAGGGACTGCCCACCGTCCTCCAGGACCCCACCTGAGGGGCACCAAGTTTAGTGCTGCTGCTTTCACTGCTGCACCCACGCCCTCGGCCGGCCCCCGAGCAGCCTTTGTACTCCCTCCAGGATGTCCCCACCCTCTCCTGTGCTGCCAGGTTGTAGCTATAGCTACAAATAAAAAAACCTTGTTTTCCAGAAAACAAAAACAAAAACAAAAAAAAAACATTTTACCCCCCCAAAAAAAAAAATTCTCTCAGATTTTCTTTGTCAAAAGAAGTTTACATTTTATCTTCATTTTTAAAGGTGTTTTCAATGGGTATAGAATTCTGGGTTTACATTTTTTTCTTCAGTAGTTTAATGATATTATTCCATTGCTTTCAGGCATGTATAATTTCTGACAGAAGTCCGCTGTAACTTTTAAATATTTGTTCCTTTGCATGTATCTTGTTTTTTTTTTCCCCTGGCTTCCTTCAAAGTTTTTGCTGTCTTTTGACTTTAAAGTTTGAATATAATATAATATAGGAGTGATTTGTTTTTGGCATTTATTCTTTTTAGTTTTACCTGAGCTTCTTAGATCTGGAGTTTGCTGCTCTTTCTTAATATTAGAATTTTTGTGCTCATTATTTCTTCAGTTGTTTCTTCTGTCTACTTTTTGTCTTATGGTATTCCAATTACAGATATATTAGGCCATTTTTTGTTGGTCCACAGCTTTTCAATGTTTTGTTATTTCTCTGATCTTCTTTCTTTCTTCTTGTTTTTTTTTTTTTTTAATTGATTACATTTGGGCAATTTCTATTGAATTTTCTTCAAGATCACCAGTCATTTTTCCTTAGCTTATTCAAGTCTATTGATGAGCCTATCAAAGATATTCTTCATCTTTGCTACTGTCTTTTTCATTTCTGGCATTAAAATTTGAACTTGCTGTGTATTATTTTTTACCTCCTTGCTAAAAATGTTTATCTGTACATCCAATTTGTCAACTTTTCCTATTAGGGCTTTTAAAATATTAATAATAGTTATATTAAATTCCTTGTCTGATAATTCCAACATCTATTATATTGGAGTCTGGTACTCTTAGTTGCTTTTACTCTTCACATTGTTTTTTTTTCCTTTTTCTTCATTCCCTCTTCTTTGTGTATTTTGTAATTTGAGTTGAAAATTGAATAAATTGTGTAGGACACAAGAGACTGAGGTTCATAGTGGTAACATAGGGATGCCTCATTCTGTTCTATGTTGTAAGCCAATCCATTTGGGAGGTTAACCAAGTCTGTGTTTTCTTCTTGCTATAATTTATCTAATGCTCCAAAGCTTTCAAATTCCTCTAGCATTACTTTGTGCTTAGAGTGGTACTTGAGTTAATGAAGGATTTTTCTCGATATACTTCCTCTATACTTAGCTTTTGACATTCACTGTTAAACTCGTACCTTGGAGAAGTTCTCTCTCTGCTCTCTGTTTTTTTCTAGTAGTAGATTACTGTTATTATTTACTTGGTACTTGCTTTCCTTGGTACTTGCTTTCCCCCAAGTGGGGGAGGTGACAGAGTGCTTTCTGGGGCTCTGTTTTAGCTTCAGTCCTAGGCATATGTTGTATGCCTGGATCTTCACTGTGGAGTCTTAGTAGGCCTGCTTCCCCTTCAGCTGCAGGAAAGCCTCGGTTTTCTAGGGCTGCTGACAAATTACCACTAACTGGGTGGCTTAAAACAACAGAAATTTATTCTCTCTCAATCCTGAAGACTAAAAATTAGAAATAAAGCTGTTAGCAGTGTTGGTTCCTTTTGGAGACGCTGAAGAAGGATCTGTTTCGTGCCTCTCTTTTGGCTAGTCGTGATTCCCAGAATCGTTGGTCTTTTTTGTCTTGTAGATAAATCACTCCAATCTCTGCCTCCATTTTCACATAGTATTCTTTTCTTTGTGTTTCTGTGTTTTCACATGGACATATTTCAAGGACATCTGTGATGATACTTAATGTACCCTAATCCACTATGATTTCATCTTAACTTGATGACATATGCTAAAACCCTATTTCTGATTAAGATCGCATTTACAGGTACCAGGAATTAGGACTTCAGCATGTCTTTTCTTGAGGATGTGTTAGTTTTCCAGGGCTGTTATTACAAATATACCACAGATTGGATGGTGTAAACAACAGAATTTTATTTTCTCACAGTTCTGGGGGCTAGAAACCCATGATCAAGTTTTCAGCAGATTTGATTTCTCCTTAAACCTCTTTTCTTGGCTTGCAGATGGTCATCTTATTGCTGGGTCCTCTCATGGTCTTTTCTTTATATGTCTATATTCCTGGTGTCTCTCTGTGTGTCCAAATTTGCTCCCCTTATAAGACACCAATGGCCCCATTTTAACTTAATCACTTCTGTAAAAGTCCTATTTCTAAATATACATTCTGAGGTAGTGGGTGTTAGAACTTCAACATATGAATTGGGATGGAGGGGAGAGAGACACAAATAAGCTATAACAGAGTACACAAACCCCAAGCTAACTGAGTGTAGTAGGGCCTAGGTGTTTTTCTGTCCTTCACCAATTGTAGAGGGCCAGAAAATGAATAGAACTTTTACAAAAAAAGTTCCTTTACATATTTTCTTACTAAAAAGTTCTACTATTTTGTTATTCAAATCTGCCTGATCATTGTATATAGTACCTTTAAAAATATGTTTGTGATCTTTGTTTGTAAAATCATATTTAATTGCTTTTAACTTGTGGATGATCTAGAGGCTGAATTGACAAATGCTATGCTTTGTAAATGATTTGCATATACTTCTTTTAGAAGCCAAGTGCTGCTACCAAAGTAGTTTTACCTTAGCCCCTTCCAGGATCACCAGCTTAATCTAACAGTCTCTAGTTCATACCTATGACCCACTGGTTAAGGCATTTATCTCCTGATTGTGTCTTTAATAATGACATGTATCTATCAGATATGCCTGCCTATTATGTGACTTTACCATTCACCATTCAGATTTCAGCTCACAGGATTATTTCTTCCCTTTGGAGATTTCTCTTATTTCTTGGGAGCCCATCACTGTAATTAGTTTGATGCAGGAAGTAGTTGTTTGGTAATATGTGAATCTTCCAGAATATTTACTTCATCAAATCGCAAAAAGCGGAAGTGTTCAATAATAAATTTTTGTAATTTTTTCATTCCACTTACATAGATATACCTCTATCTTTCCAATGTTTGCATAGTATTGGATTTTAAGGATGTAACATTTTAAAAATGATACTTCTGTTTACAGGCATAAAGAGCATTCCCAGTTATTAGCTATTTCATGTGACATGCAATGAGCATAATCGCACTTGAATTTCTATAAACTTGTATCAGTATATACTTGTAGAATACATTTCTAAAAGTGGAATTGCTGGGTTAAAGGCATTCTGAGAGTTTTTGATACATATTTTCAGACAAATTTAAATGTTATTAGAAAACATAAAAATGTTTCTAGATCTTTGTATTTAATAATGCCTAATTTATAAATTATGATATATTATTTCCTAATGATCAATATTTACCCTTTGTTGGCAGTAAAATCTTGTCCATATGGAACATTGTCTAAGAAGGCAAATCGGGCAAAAAATACTGTACTTATTACCTAAGTCCTAGTTTTGGCTCTGCCATGTATTTGCTTTTTGACTTTGATAAGTTAGCTTACCTTCTTGGTTCTTTGTAGTTTTATACATGAACTAAAGATGTTGAATTAGAACAAGGGTTATTAAATTTTATTCCAAGGATGGGAAAATGAACTCAATGGGTGGTGCTTTGAAATCCCTGCCACTACTTCAAGCAAGACAGCTGCACTTTTATCTTTTTTGTATCAAAAGTACTGAAGAATATTTCATTTGGGGAAAATAAGGTTCTGCTATTAAAAGTAGTTTAAAATCTCTTTGCCTAGGTAGATCTAAGGTCACTCCTAGTTCTAAAGTTTTCTTATGATTTTATACATCCTTCCAAATTGCTAGATTTTTCAGTATTCGAACTCCAATTATGGCTCCTACGTTTTTCCCCTTCTATAGTCAATGTAAAAATAAACTCACTTATTTAAATGAAAAGTAACAAAAAGAGAGCTGTTTCTTCTTCCTTTAATCCCTTCTCTTAGCCATCTCATTTGAATTACAAATGCTTTAGTTTCAACTACATTTTGTAAGAGAGAGGTTAAAAACATGTGACTTCTCATTATTTATTATCCTTCAGAATTATATTGAATTTAAATATACAATATTATTTCTTATATCCTGTCTGTCTTGATTTTCTTTAGTGTATATCTATTGCACATATATTGATCATTTCTTAAATACTGTTTCTATCCCTATCCTCATCAATTTCTAAGTCCCAGCATACTTTCCTTTAGTCAGTATTAAATGCTATAGTCACATTTATTTTTTCTGAACACTATTTTCACCATAATAAGATTTTTACATTTCTTTGGGAAACTCTAATTACCTTAGGCACAAGAACAAAACTCTTAGTTTAATATTCTGAGGAACTCTTAATCAGGCTTCCTCAGAATAGTCACTGAGGCAAACTGACTGACTCTCCCATGTGCCTGATTATCTCTCTCAGAATTTTTGAAATTCACTCAATTTGCATCTATGTTAAAAACTTCTGTACCTCTGCAAGTTTCACTTTTTCCATTGTTAAAATGTAACCTTCTCCAGGAAATTTTTTCCTGCTAACTAGGGATAAAATGTTCTCTTTTCTTTTATCATTACAGGCAAAGTACTTGCACTTTGTCTATAGTGAGAAAACAATACAACTTTTTGAAATGGATCCTAGTAAGGCTGAGTTTGTATTAATTTTGCCTGCACTGAGCAGAAATTTGAATATGCTATCTCTAAAAGGAGGCTTAATAGAGAAAGAAGCATAATTAAAATGGTAGGACATACACACACACATACACACACACACCCCACACCCCAAATTTTAAAAAGTTAAGATTATAAACTCTGGTTTCTAACTTAAATGAGAATAGCTGTTAAAATAATCAAATATATAAAAGGCTGTTTTAGCATATTTTGTGAAATTTAAAAAGACCTTCCTTTGATTTGAAAAGTGCTTTACTATACTATATTTATTCACTAGTGAAAACTTGAGATAACTTACTGTAGAAGATTCCCAGTTTTTCCTTTAGGACCAAGGCACTCATTCCCACACTGTTAGAAATGGTGGCTGAAGAGTGTCAGCTGAGTCCCTC